TATCACTTGGGTTTGTAATGTCTCATAAGCTGGCAATCAGATCTGAAAAAACCAACATGAGTAGCCTACAATTCTAACCAGAAAAAAACACCCGAAACACCAAACATTTGACACCTGAGTTGAAGAAATTCCTTTTAGTGTAATTCAAAGTGACAAACAATTCTTACCCTCTGGACTTTTGTACTGTTAGGTTGAGAAAAATGGGCACTGTTTTCCTTTATATCTAAATGTTTTTTTTCTTCAGAGGTATTAGTTCCAACCCTTGAACTGTTAGAAGGTAGGGAATTTGGTGGCATAATCTCCTTGATAAAAACACAAAAGACAAAAAAACTTTTTAAAGGTTTTAACTGCATTACTGTATCAATGATTATTTCTATTATAGTTTTAGTTTATAAAATCACAGAATGAAAAACTTATCAATAAAAAAATTTTGAAGGACTTAACTTCAGCTAAAAGAACCTTTCATATACGAAGGCAAGATAGTATGCAAAAACTATGAGAGGGACAGTATCTTAAACAAGAATACTATCACACAAAAGGGACAGCCTCACTTCCTCCACACCATACAAACACTTCAAAAGTTGCTATCCAAAAGCACATATTCAGGAAGATAAAAGTCAGTTATAAAACATAAAGAAGAGAATGTTGGGAGAAATGATGTTTTACCCAGAAAAAAAGTTTAAAGCACAGAGAATCAATATACACAGCACATAATCCCCAAACTAAAAAAGCAGAAGATTGAAAGCAAGAACATCTGTGCACCAATTTTGTCTTTGTCAGCAACATTTGAAAAGTGCTTCATGAACAAAGCATTTTCATAAATATTATTTCATTAAGATTCATTAACTCCTGGCAAAGTCCATTTTAAAGATAAAAAAATAAGACTTAAATGGGTTAAAGTGACTAATCTGAAATCACAGCATTAGAGAACAGAGATCATTACCTATTATTATACCATCAGTTATATCAGGCATGCCTGATAGCTAGAAAATTTGCTGTCATATTATGTGTATCATATAGAGGCCTGTAAATGAATGTCATATAAATACAAACATTACTTTTATTACACAAACCAGAACAGGCACTATAACATACCTCTTCTTGTGGGACATTTTTCTCATTTTCAGCCTCAATCCTCACCCTCACAACTCCTGACTTGTCCACAATCTCCTGAATCAGTTTTCCATTTTTTCCTATTACCTTGCCTAAGAAATGAATAATTCATGTTTAATTTAAAAACACATACTTCAAACTCTGTAAGCACATTCCACTGTAAACTTTTACATTCGTATACATGTACTGCATTATAAGGCTCAAAACAGACTCTTTTCAAGAAGGCAGAATTAGATTAGTTTTCTCTTCGATTAGGCCATTATTACTTAAACTCCTTTGGTTAGGCAAGTACAAATGATTACCACTTTTGAACTGAGTAACTCTGAATTTTTAAAGCAGTTCAAAGACAGTCTCTTACTCTGCATAAGTAAGTGGGCACAGTGTAAACTTTCTGGTGCTGTTTGTCTTAGCACTCTTTGTAAAGTTTTACAAAAGGAATCGAGAAAAAGGAGGACAGATCATTCTTTCCTTTGACAATTTCTATTCTTACTTGTATTTGATTTAAGTCTGCTTTTAAGCTACAGTAAATATTTTTTGAATCTTGTATGGTACGTCTGTAAAAAATATTCAAAAAGTGGCTTAAGCAGCTATACTAAAAGGGATACAAATTCTTCAGGCCAAGGTGTTAAGAGAATTATTATTCCGATGCATTTGCACAAATTATAGCAGCATGTCAGTAGGTGGAGGGATTAGTCACGGAGTAAAAGATAAGAAAGCACACTTCAGATAACCCAAAACCACAATGCAAAAGCTTAACCACCTAACAGTTTACCATGAGTGTCACTCAGGCCGCACATTTGTTTACATACTGACTGATCCAAGCACTGCTTAGGTAGGTGTCATTTCATCTGGTGGACTCTTATGTTGAACAAATTTGACACAATTGTTATTTTGATATTTCCTATTATATTATCTTATAAAATTAACAAAAAAAGATATGCAATTTCTGGTCATCCTATATTTAAATAACTGGGCTAGTAAGTAGTTAGAACCAGCTGGAGTGCTCTTCGATAACATGTTAAAAACTCAAGTAGTAGTAACAAACAGGCACCTGATTCTTTCCCTCATTTCGTAGAATTCAATCACATACATACCTGGGACATGACTGCTTTCATAGCCACCATCACACATAGTGTAAAGCAAGATATTATAAATGTAAGTAGTACTGATCTTAGAAATCATTATGTGAGCTGTATCAGATTTAGGAGGGGCCCGAAGTACCCTCACAGTGGCCCCATCCATCATGTGCTTGTCCCACCATCTCATCTGAGGAAGTTAGGGGAAAATGGAAGCCAAAATTCACTGGGCTAATCCTAGACAGGAATCCAGAGAAACACCATATCACAGAAGGAATCTGTGGCTCCTGTAATCAGAACCTAGCTTTGGGACTCTTTGCTTCTGTATGGCTGGCTCACCATCTCCGGTGGTCAGGGAACAGGTAAGATGCTACTTAATTTAATAGCCCTGATCCAGGATCTTCTGTCAATTATTTCTGCTCTTGACTCGTCTTCAGATGAAAAGGAGAGGGGTAGGGAGAGAGATGCTACCTGAAATCTTCCTATGGTTTGTATAATCAGTAAATTTTGTTTTCATGAATTAATCTGGATGTTAATAAAGGTCTAAATGAGTTGGGAAAAAAAGTGCAATTTTGGCATGTTTCTATCAAGACAATGTCTTCACTGGCCAGGCACAGTGACACCCAGGAGGCGGAGGCAGGAGGACTGCCTCCAGTTTGAGGCCAGCCTGGGCTATACAGTGAGTTCAAGGCCAGCTTGAGCTACACAGTGAGACCCATCTTTAAAAAACAAAAACCAAATAACCCTTTCAAAAGATAATGTCGTGACTATCCTAAATACTGTGTTATCTATGGCTGAGTGAATAGTTAAACATATCTGTGGTCAAAGTACTGCAGGTAAAAAAACAGCAAATTACAAGAACAGGGAGATAAATTAGTGTACATACTAAAGAGTTTTGTGAAAAACATCATAAATGTTATTATAAAACTCCAACAAAACTCATGTAATACTGATTATGCCATCTCCCTAAAGACCTGCCTTACCAAATTTTATACAAAAATGCTTTCTGAAAATCCCCAACATTCCTTCCCAATGTTGCAGTAGACCTCTCAAATAGGAAAATTTCTCACTTTACTAACTTAGAAACACAACAAAAATCAGTCTGGTTTACTTCAGCAGGCTCGCTGGTAGGTCACTTCAATGTTCCACTTATTTCCAGGTAAGATCACAGGCAGAATTCAAATATGATTTAATAACAATCCAATTCTATTTTTCTAAATCTCACTGGAGAATTTAACTTGGCTCTACTGAAATCGGCTTGTTTTGAAAAGGTTGAAGGAAAAAGAACAGTCTTCTATTATGACCAGAACTGTGCTAAATACTTCACATACATTCGTACACCCAACTCTGTGAGGTGGATATTAGTACCACCTTTCCTGATAGGTGAAGAAGATGCAAGGGATATAAATCAGTTGACCTAGGTCACAGCTACCAAGGAATGAAAATCTAGATCCAACTCTCATGCCAAGTACTTTCTCCTGCTGTCTCTAAAATACCTTAATGAGACTGAGACAGACACAAGTTTCCATATATTTGATAATACAAAAAACACTACTGGCTATATTTTCATAAGAATTCCTAAATTTACAATAATACTTAATACAAAATGTCTTGACAAACTGAGAAGAAAATAAATACCGATTATTTATTCTATTGTTCTGAAAATAATCACTTTGCCCCGAGTTGTGTATACATTTTCTACACAACTGGTACCTGAGTTACCTCAATAATGTTACATAGTCATGGTAACTGTCTGTAGTACAAAACTTGAGTTATTAATTCTGTTATTTTTTCACTAGTATCTGTACTTTATCTTCAAGCTGATTTTCTGTGGGAAAAAAATATCATCATTAGTGATATTTAATGACAGCAAAAGTTTATCAATTTTTATAATTTGTCATGACCTCAAGTTTGCAATGATGTCCCAATCTTACTCATAAAGTAAAAATAGTTTTCTTGATAAAATTATATGATTTTGATGATGTTCTACCAAACACAGCTGTAGAATTTGGGAGGGCTGAAGAGTTCCTAGATATTGCGAACACTCATGATGATGGTGATGGCCATGAAACAACAGTAAAAATAAGGATGTACCATTGACTATAGAAAGCCCCAGAGACATGCAGAGCTATGTCTAGTTTGAAACTTACTAGATTTAAGTAACCTATAGCCCTACCTTTAACCAACCCTGAGATAATTAAACTGAATGCTACCATTTTATAGGACCATTAGGGCGAGGTCAAATACCAATCAACTCTAAATAATAAAGGCCCCAAATATTCATGTGGAAAAAAATCTTACTCAATTTTGAAGATATAAAAAATATACAGTGATGAGGATGGTTAAAGTTCATCCTGCTAAGCATTAGTAAGTTTGAAGTAGCAGTGCGTACTCATTTGCATACCTTCTGAAAATGATATACTGTAGTACCATACTTAAATCTTTTCTGGACACTCTAACAACAGACTATATTTCCAAGATTATGCCTCATTTAACTGACACTCTTGAGGGGAAATGGGAATTCTACTGGTAAAAAACATAGTTTACCTGAATTTTGTTTTAGTAATGTATGTCAATGTTTACTTCAGACTCACCTACTAAGTTTCTTGGAACTTGTATGACATCTTCAGCAAACTCAAGAAAGCTTCTCGCCTTTTTAACTGCATCCTGATCCTATTAAAAATAGGAAAACGTTAAGAATAAAGGTTAGCAAGCTGAAATACTGACTTTGGGTGGGGTACCATTTGGGAAAATACTTGCCTCTCCATAGATATGAAATGTGCAGGTATCTTCATCTAGATCAATAGCAGTCACCCCGGGTACTTTTCTAGCTTGCTGAATATTAGCACCATGAGTACCAATAGCTAGACCCATCAGATCTTCTCGTACGACAAACTGTTCATGAAACCTGGAGGCAAGCTGCCTTGAACTCTGAAGAGAAATGCACATCTGATGAATACGCTTTATCAACTATTAAGACAACTGTATTTAGGTCAGCCATGTAAATTATCTTGACCCTATGTATCAGGGGCCTATAAATTAGTTTCAGTTGAAAACTAATTTTAGAAAAGATCTCCCAGAGCACAAATATTTTTTATGTTACTGAAGGCCTATGCCATTTGATATATTTTTGTTAACGGCTAAGAGCTTGTTGACAAATTTCCACGGTAACTTTTGAAAACCTATTTGCAAGGCTGCCTTAGTTAACCAATGATATAAACAATGTAATAAGAAGCAGATCAAATGTTCCCAAATAAAAACCAGTTCACTGGGTCTGACAGACTCAATGTTACTTAGTTACAAAAAAAAAAAAAAAAAAAAAA